TCCTAGAATTTTCTTTCACTCAACTGGAATCAAACAGCCAAAGCTCCCCCAGAACTGCAGCTGTCCAGACAATGCACGAGCTGAAGACACGAAGCTGGTGAGCGTGCCAGAGCCAGAACACAGCGCCCAGGGACCCTGGCCCTGGCTGCTCCTTCTCAACCCCTCTGTGGTCCCAAAGATGGTTTTGAAGTCTGGCACAGAGTCACACCAAGGGTAAAAACATCTCAAAGTTTGTATTTTTTCTACATTTTCCCATCTCCAGCCAGCTCCTCTCTAGCCCTTGCTACACCCAAAGCCCAGGCTTTTCCTCTTCCCGACCCACCTATCCAGGGGGTCAGCATCGCCTCTGCTTGGTTAGGAACTCTATGTCTCGGCAGGGGAGCAGCTCCCCACAAGGGCCTCCGCCTGCTCCACACACACGTCACTACATCACCACGCACACACCCTCCAAGAGCACCAGAGCTAAAAGGGACCTGCTGCCAGCAACTGCAGGGCCTGCCAGACTTCGGTAATGGGGAGAGGACTGGGGGTTTTGTCTTGAAGTCTTGAAACCTGGCTGGGGAGAGTGGGTGTTTCCATTTCATATGGTTCAGTACCCTAACAGCGTGCTGCAAACCAAGTGGCTGAGAACAGGAGTTTATCATCCCCCGGTTCTGGAGACCTGAAGTCCAAAACCCAGGGGTCTACAGACAAGAGAGAAGGAAAATAATTGAGAAGGAAGTTCCAAGCCTCTCGCCCAGCTCCTGGGAGGCTCAGGGGTCCTCGGCTTGTGGATGCCTGTCTCCAGGTCTCCTCAAATGGCATTCACCCTTGTGTTTTCATGTCATCGTCCTTCTATATCCAAACTTCTCCTATAATAGGGACACCGTCATATTGGATTAGGATTCTCCCAAATGACTTTTTTTAAAACTTAATTGCCTCTGTAATGACCCTATTTCCAAGTAAGGTTATTTCTGTAGTACTAGGTATGAATCAACATATCGTTCTGGGGGACATAATTCAATTCATGACAATGGAGTTGTCCCCTGACACAGTGTAGCCTAGACATAGGAATGCATCAAATAGGGGACCTGTCAGTGTCCTCCTTCCTGTGGAAAAGTAGACCGGGTGCTGATGCTGGGAGAGCTCTCCCGGTGCCTAGGCATAGATTTTTGTCTCATCCCCTCAACATCAGTATTTTAGCAGATGTATTTTAGCCACTTCTGCTACTGGCTGGGACAACAGAGACCTAAAACAAGTCCTGCATCTTTCGTGTTGTGTAGAAGGGGGCTAGAATTCCCGCCCAGCTCCGACCCCGAAGGGGCCCACACGCAGCTGCTTCTTACCTGAGGCCTACTAGGGTTGGCACGCACTATTCTCTGCTCAGGTAAAGGTGTTGCTCTTATAGCCAGTTCTGAAGAGCACTTTCAAGGGAGAATGCTTGAGCTTACGTTATCCCAGGAGTGGGTAGCTCAGGACTGTCCCAGCGACAGTAGAGAAGGTATTTGGAAGCTGGGGGAGGAGTACTCTTCCTGCTACTCCAGTCCTGCTGTGGAGCCAGCTGCTGGCTCTTACCTAACTGTCCCTGCAGTAGCAACAGATCCAGCGGTACCCTGCGTGGGAGAGAGGGAGCAGGCCACAGCTCCTTCCTGGCCTCCGTCAGCCCCTCCTAAAGCTGCTGCCTAAAGCTGCTCCCAATGAGTACGTAAGCCAAGAAGACTACAGTTGTCTTCTATGCAAATTTAGCTTCCAGGAGCCCCTTTTTCTCCCCTCCCCCAGCCTGCTTGAAGCCTGGTGTCCTCCCAGGCAAAAAATTCTCCCGGCCTCCCCTGGGAAGAGTGTTCTGGGAGCCCGCACAGGCTCAGCAGTTCTGTTCTCTGCTGTGCCCAAAACCAGAACCCCAGCCACCTCTCCAGGCGGGATGGGCAAGCCTGCCAGTCACCCAGCAGCCCCTCCCACTGCCACCTCCCCCCATCAGAAAAGCCCTTCCTTTTTCCTTATTTATTTTAGCTCCTTGTTTTCACAAAATAAATATTAAAATAAACTCATAGCTATTAAAAATTTAAATGGTCATATATTAACCTCCCCAAATGGCCTTTAAACCTCCAGTGGTGAGCTTGGGTGACACAGGCCTGGAGAGCTGGGCAGGCCCAGCTATGGCTAAGCAGGATGAGTGTCATTTAGTGACCACTCCCTGTGGCCCAGGGACCAGGCCAGGAGTGGGCCACGCATGCAATCCTATAATCACTCTGATGAGGTGAGCGCACTGTAAACAACAGGCTATGGGAAAACTCTTGTAAGGGGAAGTTCACTCTTCGATGTTTACAGAAGTACTTGGTCTATTGACAAAAGCGGCTGAGATAAGACAGGTGCAGCGACATGTCCAAAGGAGTACACTGAGACCAAATTTCAGGAAGTCTTCATGCCTCCGTTGAGGGGTTTTCACTCAACTCTGGGAGCTATGAGGAATCCCCAAAAGTACTTGAGCTGTCGAATGAAATGAGCAGCCGTGTGCTCTGAGGATGCAGTGCTGAGCTCAGAGGCCCGGGCATCAGACAGACTCACAAGCCGCATTTGTAACCAGAACCTGGTAGGTGGTTAGGTGCAGTGCTGAGCTCAGAGGCCCAGGGCATCAGACAGACTCACAAGCCGCATTTGGAACCAGAACCTGTTAGGCGGTGGGGGAGTGGGAATGAAGGCTGACAGCGCTGAGCGCAGCTGAGACCAATGGGACTTGGTGGCATTGGAAAGCAAGGAAGACAGAAGGTGGCTACCCCAGGGGGTCTCGGACCTCCTAACTCATCTGATGCTATGCACTGAGATGAAATAACGGTGGACAGTGGGTTTATGAACACAAGTGTGATGGGTTTTAGCTACACTGGAAGTTGAAGCGCCTTTTGAAGCTTTGAGGAAAGCTGGTCACAGGCAGCTGGAAACAGGATCTGAACTCTGAGGAAAGAGTGGGAGGTGGGGCCTAGGGTTCCTCAGCAAAGGTGGTGGTTATGGGGACAGAGACCCCAACTGGAAACAGTAGAGAGTAGGTGAAAGGGGAAGAGGGGCTGAGAGGGAGGTGATGGGAGGAGAGGGAGAAACCATCAGGAAAGGCCAAGGGAAAGGAGTGGGGGAGGAGGGTGGCTAGGGATCCCCAGGGTGGTCTGGTGGGAACTGGGGATAGCTGCGCACACACGCAGCCCCCTTCAGTCTCTGATGGTCTGGCCCCGCAGCCTCACAGGGTTGCTGAGCGCTGCGCCTGAGTCTTCGCCAGCCCTCCCCATCCCCGTCACCCAACCCTGCAGGCATCCTGGCACGAGCCCTGCGCAGGGTGAAGCCCCAGGTCCTGTATCATAGTCTCATGGCCCAATCGTAAGTACCTGAGGACCAGGGAACAGACCATCCTGGATTTGATAGTTTTGAATACATGCAGTAGATACACATGAACATCACAACTGTCAATTTTAGAAATGTTCAAGGTGGGGGATACAGTTCAGTGGCACAGCACGTGCCTAGCAAGTGCAAGATCCCAAGTTTGATTCCTGGTACTAAAAAAAAAGAAAAAAGAAAAAGGAAATTTCATTACCTCAAAAGAAGTACTGTATCCTGCCCTCCACCCTGCACCAAGCCACTAATTTACATTGTCTCAAAGGATTTCTCTATTCTGGACTTGCATATAAATGGAGTCATGTAATATGTGAGCTTGTATAATTGGCTTTTTTTATAGAGAGAATTTCCAAGTCTTTGTTAAGGCCCAGAAGGTTTATATCTATAATCCCATGAAAAGGTGCTGGAAATCTAGCAAGTTAATTCTAATCTGCCACTTCCAATGCAACGCATGGTGAGAACAGACACTGGGGCATATTTGCAGTTATGGGGAGCCGGGCAGTGCTAAGTCCCCACGATGGTGGCCATCTGGAACAACGGCCCCAGCCCAGGGCAGAACCCAGACTTTAGTAATTCGTAAAGGAAGGAGGGGCCTGAGGAGGAGCGACTGTGAGGGTGGTGGGAAGCAGGGAGTGCTGAGAGCTGGGCCAGGCAGGAGAAGCCACCTCTGCGGCCTGGAGAGAAGGAGCTGCAGCAAGCATGATGTGCACAACACCGCTGAGGTCGCATCCAGTGTTTGGGGGGTCAGGGTTCTGCTCTGATGTGCCACCATTCAAGGCTCCATCCCACCCTATGGAGAGAAGCTTCGGCTCTCCACCCCCTCTCCTTCCCGCTCACACAAGGGAACAACAAGGGGTGGGAGGGCAGACACTGCCTGAATTACATCCAACCAGCACCTGGGGTGGACCAATTTGCATTTCTTAAGGCAAATTGAAGGGATAAGAGGGCCTGGGGAGATGGCTCAGTGGAATAAGCACTTCCCTGGCAAGTGCAAGGGCCTGAGTTCAATCTCTAGTTCTGGGGAAAAAAAAAGGGGGGGGATAAGGAAAAGTCCTCGTCAGCTCTGTACATATCAATACATGGAAACAGGGTCAGATTCAGACAAAATGGAAGTAATTGCTTCTCCTTCAAGGAGGTCCCAACATTTTTTTTTTTTTTTTTTTTTTTGGTGGAACCGGGGATTGAACTCAGACCCTTGCGCTGGCTAGGGAAGTGCTTATTCCACTGAGCTATCTCCACGGCCCCTTTTAGTTTTTGTTTTTTGTGGGTTTTTTGCCCAACACTTTTTAACTTAGCATAATGTTTTCAAAGTTTAGCCATATTTTGTCGATACTTTCTTTTCTGGCTAAGTAATATTCCACAGGATGGATATACCATATGTTGTTTATCCGTGGACTTTCGGGTGGTTTCTACTGAACAATACTACTATAAATATTTTCCTTCAGTTTTGTGTGGCTATTTGTCTGAGAGAGTGACGAGAATGCTCTTCTTGTGCTTCCAGCACAGCACAGTTAAAGGGGCCATTCACTTCCCCCCGAGGCCTCTGAAGGCCCTCGGTGGTGAGCTGGGGCTTCCTCTGACTTGACTAAGACTTCCCTCTTGTTTCTGGCTCACCACGAATGCGCTTTTCTCTCATACTTTAGGAACTGATGAAGCGGCCATTATTGAAATCCTGGCGAGCAGGACGTCGGATGAGAGGCAGCAAATAAAGCAGAAATACAAGACCAAGTATGGCAAGGTGACTGTAGACACCTGGAGGGCGACCCTGTCCCTGGCAGCGAGGACATCTGTAAAGCTTGGGTGAACTAGTGCAAGACAAAGACTGAAATAAGCATTCAAAAGTTCTAATTCACTTGAGAAAAGCTGAAATTGCTTCGTTAACTTTTTTTTTTTTTTTTTTTTGGCAGAACCAGGGATTGAACTCAGATCCTTGAGTCTGCCAGTCAAGCGCTTATCCTACTGAGCCATCTCCCCGTGCTTTGTTAACTTAATAGCCTTGTAAATACCCTAACTCATTATTTTTTAAAATTGATTTTATTTTTCTGTAAAGTACTTGGTCATTTTTTCCACTCAGTTTGACTTAAGCCAATGCTGTGAAAAGTCAGTTTCTACCAGTAGGTTTTATGTAGGAATTTTTTACTTATTCAGCATCCTCAAATTGATATATCCCTTCTAGGTTAATGTTACCAAAAATTTAAGAAGAAAAAAATGTCATTTCCTACAACATGGAGGCTTCTTCTTTACATTTTCTTCTTTACATATTCTTTTTAATATTGATGATGCTGTTATATATAGAAATCTTTAAATATATATTAAGCTTTCTTGTTTCCTTATAAATATATAATGAACATAACTGAACCTTTCCTTAATGTCACTAGAACTATCATTGTGCAAAGGGAATACCAATCCTTGGCAAGCACAAGAGCTTGAGTTCAATCATGGGTTCTGCCAAAAAAAAAAAAAAAAGGAATATTAATAGTTGTGCTGTATTCTCCCCCATGTTTATAAAACCTTTGTGGTCTCAGTCACAGTAAGTAGATGTATAAGAGAGAGGATGGGCTTCCCACTTGATATTTGTCTTAGTTACCTTCTTACTGCTGGGACACAACGCCTGATACCTGTAAGCTAAAGCTAGTAAGGCTCATGTAGCTCACAGTTTGTAGAGGTTTCAGTCCATAGTCAGCTGGTTCCACGCCAGGACTGCCTGGAGGAGAAGAAGCAGTTCAGGGCAGAGCGGGCAGGAAGCCACAAGCCTGCCTCCCTTTCCCTTTTATTCCATCATGCTCTAAGCCCATTGGTTGGTTCCACCCATGCCCCGGCCTCTATCATCCACACCCAGAACCATGCTAAAGCCAATCAGTGAACAGATCCGGGCATCCCACCCTGATCCAGCCAGTCCTCAAGCCCTACCTGAGAGCGCAAGGCTTGGGGGGACACCTAGGTATAAGCATAACAACACGGGCCAGGAGAAGATACCATCAGGCTTTGTTATCACTTATAACTCAAAGAAGGGCACTTACTTCTACTCAAGTCTGGGAGACTATGTCAGCAGGTACCGCTCACCAAGGGGTGTTCTGGTAGACATAATGGCTTCATTTTACACATAGGAAAGGTAAAGCCCCTATGTTTAAATGATTTATGTGAAATCACACACTAGGTAAAAGAGGGAGACGGACAAGGGGACAGGGAGGGAGGGAGCAAGGCATGGTGATACATACTTCTCATCCCAGTCACTCTGGGAGGCTGAAGCAGGAGAATCCCAAGCTGAGCCCAGTCTGGAGAATTTAATGGCTTGGCAAGACCCAGTCTCAAAGTTAAAAAAAAAAAAAAAGAGGGCCAGTCTCAGAGCCCAGAGGCTCATTTGAGAAATAGTTGATCTTGCCTTTAAGAAAATTCCTTTCATTATAGGATAAAATAATAAAATTGTCTTGTAACATATATAATAATTAGTACTTACTGAGCACTTAAAATATACTAGGCACTCTACTCAAAGTTTGCATAGATTGTGCCATGTGAATCTCCCAACACCAGTCTTATTCTTTTCAGTTTTAGGTAGGAAAACTGACCGTGGATAAATGAAGCTTTCCAAGGTGGTAACGCATCTGTGACTATGCTTTAGCCACCGTGTCCAGCTCTGAGCAGCCAGCCCAGCCCTGCCATAATTGTGGTCCCAGGGCCCAGGCCGGCCCACCTGGGGCTGGTGCTTTTTGAAGGTCTTTCACCAAGGTCAGGGAGAGCACTGATGACTCTGGTCAGGCTGAGCTCCCCTTCTGGATACTTTCCCTATGAAAGTAGCTCTTCAGGGGGAAGTAGAGAAGAGCAAGCAGTCATCTGGCTTGTGATAAGAAGGAAAAGAAAAGAAAAGATGAAGAGGGATGCTGCTGAGAACAGAGCCCCAGGAAGAAGTTCCCAGACTTCTTCCTGTTGGAGTTCCTTCTCACACGTGTTCCTCTGAGGAGTTAAGAAGATAACCGACTGACTGACTGACTGACTGACTGACTGACTGACTGGCTGGCTGGCTGGCTGGCTGGCTGGCTGGCTGGCTGGCTGGCTGGCTGGCTGGCTGGCTGGCTGGCTGACTGACTACCTGTGTACCTTTTTGACCAAGAGAGTCCCTGATTGGCTCATTCCCCACCCCTCCAAACACAACTGTTAATAGTGGCCCCTTTCACTCTCAAAGCCAACCAAATTTAGATGGAAAATGTTCAGGCCCACTTAGAAAGTCCCATCTGTATTTCAGTCTTTACTAGCTGAATTCTTGGGGACAAATCCTTCATCTTGAGGTTCACTACAAGGAGATAATGCCAGTAGCTTTCCTGCCAGCTTTTCCAGGCTGTTTTGAGGATTCACTAAGAGTTTTCTGAGCCCTAAACTGTTCTACAAGAGCTATTGTCACTCATTCTCCTTCAGGGTCTTCATCCCCAAGAAGGAAATCTCGTGTCTCTGCCAGCCCTGGGGAGAGATGGATGAGCAGTCACAGTGACCTCTGTCCTCATAAGCAGGTCACCCCATATGTCCTGGGCAGGTGTTCTGCCCACTCTGAACCATGCAGCAGGGCGGAGGGACACCTATTCTTCTCCTCCTGGGCCACTCCCAGTCAGGTGTTGGTGCTTCCTGCAGGACCTGGAGGAGGTGCTCAAAAGTGAGCTGAGTGGAAACTTCGAGAAGACAGCCTTGGCCCTCCTGGATCGCCCCAGTGAATATGCTGCCCGGCAGCTGCAGAAGGCTATGAAGGGCTTAGGCACAGATGAAGCCGTGCTCATCGAGGTCTTATGCACAAGAAGCAACAAGGTCAGTCCTGTGTGAGTGAGTCTCTGGCCCCAGGGGTGCCCACAGCCCATCTCAGATGGCTGTAGCTCCTGGAAGGAAGCCACTCCCTTGCATTCTGCCCTTGGCTGAGTGAGAATCTGATCTGAGATGCCACGCAGGAGGAATATCGCCCCAGAGTCCTAGTGTTGCTGCCCTGGCTTGACAGGATAGATCCTTCTAGAAGAGCTATGTCCACTCTGTTGTTGTTTTTTTCTAACAGGCACACACCTTTCTGTGTGGGCATCACAGTTCCACTTTACCCCACCCCACCCCACAGCCTGACTCTTTAGGTCTCTGGGCCCAAGTCAGCAATCAGTAGCCCATGCTTGTGTAGCTGCCTGGTCTATGGCTGTATCCTAGCCCAAAGCACACAGAAGACTTCAACTACCCAGGAAGTGGTGGTGCCCAGGATCCCAGCAAATATCCCCAGTGGCTGCCAGCGCCAGCCTGGAGGATTCTGCAGGTTTCTTTCAGCCCACCTCCCCCTGGTCCCTTGGGCACGGGCCAGCATCCCAGAATCAGAAGAGAGCTCTTGTTAAGGCCCCAGCAGGAGCTCATTTGTCTTTGGTTCCAGAATCCAAGAGGGCCAGAGTCCATCAAGAGTAAAGAGGGTGCACAAATCAAAAGTAGGAGTCCCTCCCCGCTCCATGCCCATGCAGGATAGTAGAGCAGGGAGGCCCAGCAAGGGAAATGCCAGCGAAGCCGGACCCCTGAGGCCTCCCAGGAAGAAACTCCAGCAAGCGTTGGAGTAGACATGGAGGACAATCTGAAGCCACGCCCTGATGCTGAAGAGTTACTTGCAGCCCACCCGCTGCTTCCTCTCACTCTGCCAGGCCGGCCCAAGTGTAGCACTGCCCCAGCCAGGCTGCAAACCCCTCCCCCTACGTCCCTGGGATCGTCTTCCTCCCTCCATTCCAGAAGGCGTTTGGGGTAGGACAGTGCCTCTGAGAAGGCCTGCACAGACTCGGGGCCACACCTAGAGCGGTGAGCCTCACCGTCCCTCCTGGTGTCTGCTCTCCAGAAGTGCAGAGGCTCCGGCGGCGGCGACAGGGCGTCTAGCTCCCCACCTGTTGTCACCCGTCGTCTCCAGCACCTGCCCCTGCCCCCCTTCTGACTCACACTTCAGCCTGCTTGCAGGAGACGCTGCGGGACAGCACCTGCTCTCGCACACCTTGGGTTGCACGTAGACTGAGGCAGGGCTGAAGTGGGCTACTGCACACAAGATGCTGGCAGGTCAGACTGCTCCCAGGGCATGCCTGCGGGAGAGAGGCCTCTCACAGTGGCAAGCTGTTCACTGCATGAAGCCTTGTTCCAAGCAGAGAAAAACTATAAACAACTTAGTGGCTTCCAATCCGAGGCTGGCTAAATACACTGTGGATATCGGATGGGCATTTTGTGTCCCTTTACGAAACTGTGGGTGACTGTCTGGATTGCCAAAACATAATGGGGTGAAAACTAAGCCATAGAATGATTACTGTACCCCAACATCAGGGTTCATGAGCCATTCACAATACAGTTCTCTACATTTTTAGTAGCCACATACATGTCTACCAAGCAAAAAAATTACCTGTGAGATACGCACTGAACTTCTACCACTAGCTATGTGGTAGGGTGAGAGCGGGAGACGGGATGGAAAGGCGCGAAGAGAAGGTGCAAGTTGTGATATGTTTAGTTATGTACTTTTAACTGACGTATAATTATCATATTTTGGGGAAGGAGTGGATGCTGTAGTCCATGTATACAGCGGATAATGATCACTTGAGCAATTAGTGCTTCCATTACCTTGTGGATCACTTCATTATGAAGCGAATACTCAACATCCTCCCTTGTTCCTATTTCAGAACATGTTAGTGTTAAATGTTGTCCCCCTCCTGGAAAGAGAACACCGGCACTCTCCTGCTCTCTGTGGCTTTGTGTCTTGCCCGGCATCTCCTCATCTGTCCTTCCCCATCTCTGGTGACTGCCATCTGGCTCTCAGCTTGCGTGACATCACTTTGTTAGAGTCCACGAGTGGGACAAGCCTGAGGTGTATGTCCTTCTGGGCCTGACTCATCACACCCAACATACTGCCCTCAGACTTGAGTGGTAGCTGAAGATGGCAGGGTCATTCCGCTCTTTTTATGGGGTTCCATTCTGTGAATGCACCTATTTTCCTAACTTGTGTCTGCTAATGGACACCTAAGCTGATTCTTTTTTTCCTCTAAGGAGAATGTATGTATGTGTCATCTGTGTGTCTGAAAAGCTGGAACAGAGAGGGTCCCTTCACTCTCCAGGGACTTGCTACAGCCTAGGAATGACCATTTTACGCATCTGTCGTTAAGACATCCCACGTCCGGGATACCTGTGCCTCCTCCGTGTGTCTCACTGATCCTCCTCTCCTTGGCCATTGATGTGTTTTTGTTGCCTTTCTAGGAAATCAGCGCCATCAAGGAGGCCTACCAGAGGCGTAAGTGTTCTTTGCTCTGCCTTTGGGGAAGGTGTGTTCCTTTGAAAATACTTCCCAGAACTGAACTACCTTGCTCTCTCCTCTCCTTCCGTCTTCCTCAAAAGTGTTTGACAAGAGCCTTGAATCAGATGTCAAAGGTGACACAAGTGGGACCTTTAAGAAGATTCTGGTGTCCCTGCTGCAGGTAAAAACACACAGCATTTGTCCATTGTATGATCTTAGAAAATAATTCTTGGCAACATGAAAAAGGCAATGTAGATCAACGGTTCATCCTTTTCTGGGGTGGGAAGTAATCCGGTGGGGATTTCTCCTCTGCTAGCTGCTTACCTGCTGTTTGCAGCTTACCGTGTCCCCTGGGTAAGGAATTTGCTCAGTAAGCAAATCCACTCTGACTGGCCAACAAGGAGACTCGGTTTCAAGAGCCGGGGAACTCAGCCAGTGCATAGGCGGTGGGACACAGCCCAGGAGCAAGACTCGGGTCTTCTGACCCCAAGTGCGGGGCGTACCCGAAGCACAACTCAGCCCCTACTTCCAGGACTCACCCTGAGTACAGCCTGTAGGAACCGCTGTCAGGAACTCCTAGGGAGTAGGGCTGGGCAGCTGGCTTGCGGGACGCAACCCTGAACCTCGCCAACATGCCGGTTTCACGGGCCATCTTAGCTCTCCATTGTGGACAATGACAGCCCAAACTGACAGCCAAAGCCCAAGTGAGTGGGCTTCGCCCGCAGCAGGAAAGGTTCTCTTCGTGCTGCACAAAACATGCCGCCGACTTACAGCCTGAAGCAGCAGAGCTCGGTGACCTCAGTGCGCGTGGTCAGGAGAGCTTGTAGGAACAAGTGAAGCTCTTCGCTGCAGGTCTCTCCCAGCTGGAATCGGTCCACGGCCTCTGTGCTCCTCTTTTCAGGCTCTGGGGCTAACTATCTCAGATCTATTTTGGAAGGAGAACAAGTAGAAATAGAAGGGGATAAGGTGAGTAGTTAGGTAGTTCAGGCTGGCCTCAAACGCACAATGATCTCCTGCTTCTGCCTCCCAAGTGTTGGGATTGCAGGCGTGCACCACCATGCCTATAATATAATATGCGTGGCCGTCTGGCCTCCTCCAGGCCAGAAGAAACTCATCTCTGACTTCTTCCACCTCTGCCCTTCAAGATCTCTCACCTGATTGGGTCAGGCCCACCAAAAATCACCTTCCTTCTGATTCATTCGATTGTTTAGAGATCTGTGTTACAGCTGCAGGTCCTATCTAATCCTATTATCTAATAATAAGCATGGAGGGCTGGCCAAATAGCTCAATGGGTTAAAGCACCTGCAAGCAGGCACAGGGACTGGGGGTTTGATCCCCTGGCCTGCTGT